TAAACGAGAGAATAAACGAACGACAAAGGCATTTGTAGCATATCATATAAACAAATAGAAAGCTGCTAACTTTCATCGGTTTGGAGAAAGAGGAGGGAGTTGGCGAGAGGAGGAATTATATGATACGCACAACTCAAACGCTCCCCTCGCGCATGCACATTGCAAGAATAGCTATGGAGTTCAGCTTTCGTATCTGGGTCCCTAAAGGATCTTCTCGTTGCTTTTAATATATATAAAGTGAATAAACAACTATATTCCTAAATACTGTCTCTGAACTCAACTATTCTGTAGCATTAAAATTACATAATACTTTTTTAAAAATTCAATAACAAGCAATTATGCACCTAAACTATGAAAATCGTGCGAGATGAATTTCCGAGTATAAAGTCAGTGCAACAACGTAATAAATTAAACTATGCAGGAAAATAGATTAAAAAGCGAGTTACACATCAATGCGGAGCTGCAATATCTGTTCATATAGCAATTATGTAGCATCATAAGGCTTTTAAGAATCGTAACATAAGCAATCGCGAAAGTGAGAAACGAAAATACAGCGCAAATGATATGGAACATAGGAAGTTATGACGGCATCGTTGAAGATGAACTCGCTCAGAATCGGAGGAAAAAAACCTTTACAAGACAAACAAAACCTCTATAGAAAAATTATGGGCAAAACTTTCGAGAAGAAAGTAACTAGAAAATTTATCGCCTCAGTCTGGAGCATAGGATTATAACACGCTGCAGAGCATAGGCTTCGATCATTGAAAATTCTTGAGCATTGAAATAACAAATAGATTTTAAAAAAGACCACATTGACGCAGATTCTCACGAATAATGATGTCGGTAACAGCATCGAATACAAAGCGAATGTTGTTGGTATCGGTGGCGCATGTGAAATGCGTGTAGATCTCCTTCTGGCCGTCTCGTCGTTTATTCATGTTTTCAAATTGTAGCTGCATATATGCTGCTGCTTCCTCGTACGTGTTAGCTCCTAGAGATGCTTTTGATCATAAAAATTTGATAAGGAAAATTCATTAATTTGCAAAAACTTATAACAAGCACATAAATAATGCTACTACATTATGCCCTTGATTTTTTCTGTTGATTTTGGAAGCGAGCTACTACTAAAAGATAACGGAGAAAAACAAAATTTCTATATTGTGGTAGGATAACAAGTGGCTTCCTTGCATCCGAGATGGTGTGTGCAAATCCAAAATAAAAGGTGGGAAAAAATGCAAGTTAACTTTACAAAATTGAAAATCTGCAAACAGTCCCAGCTTGTATCTGAAAAGAGCACTTCACGAAGAA